CATCTACCCTATAACTTACATGAAGCTTTAGGGGCACAAGTAGATACAAACCATAACATTCTGCCCCTGGACCCTCAGAGTCTCATGCACATCCTTTTGTCCAAAAGGCATTTTAGTCCATCTCTAAGAGTTGCCAGAGTCCCAACAGTTTCAGCATTGCTGAAAAGTCCAAGTTCCAAGTCTCCTCCAAGATCCAAGGCAAACTCTCAACTGTGAGCCCCTGTACAAATAAAAAGTTAAATATATCCAACATTCAAAGGCACAAGATAAACATTGCCATTCCAAAAGGTATACAAGCCATTGGGGCCAAAACAAGTCCAAAATCCAGCAGAGCAAACATTAAGTCCTATAGTTCCATATGGAACATCTGAAGCAATCTGTGGTAAATTGTGAGCTCCATGTAGCTCCACCCTTATGGCACTTCTGGTGGTGGTATCTCCTGTGGCTTCTTTCTGAGGCTGACTTTGCTCCCTCTTTGTGGTTTCCCTTAGATGATCCATGTTCCTGGCTTTTCCAAATTTCTGGGGTTTCTACTGAATAGGTTTCTCACTCATAGTTTCACACACTGCCTTCTCGGGGGCACACTGCCTGGCCTCCCAGGCCTTCTTCTTAAATCGAGGTGGAAGCCTTCTTAACCTCAGAACTCCTGCATTCTGCATGCGCCTAAAACCAGCACCACGTGGGTGGTGCCAAGGTCTCCTGCCTGCAGCAGCCAGGCTTTCCTCTCTCTTGGCTGCAGGGGTCAAGTGCCTGGATTGCTGAGCACTCGGACCCTGATTCCGAGAAACAAATCCTCTGTGCTGGTGCTATTCTGTAATATGATGTGGCTGCCACCTCCATTCTGGAACCTGGTGTGGCAGCCGCCTCCATTCTGGAACATGGGGCTCTGCAGCTTTCTCCTCAAAGCAAAGTCCCTCACCCTTGTGATTCTGAGGCTGCAAAGCGTGAGAACCTGCCACCTCCTGTGATGCTCTCAGGTCATCCTTTCCATTCTCTCATTCCTTCTCAGCAGTGGAGATCCTCTCAGCTCTATCTTTGCATTCCACAGTTTTATTGGAGCTTCCTTTCTGACCAAACTCACAACATTTTGTATCATCCTGCTAGGTTCTTTGCACTTGATGCTCAACATAAATCTGACTGAAAGCTCCCAACAACAGCCATGCCACTGCCCCAATATTTGACTGCTTTGAGATTTCCTTTGAAAGATTAATCAGTTCATCATGCTTGATCTTAGTCTCAGGTGAATTCTCTGGACATGGGCAAAATTCAGACAAACTTTCAGCCAAGCCAAAACACAAATGATCTGGAGTCCAACAACCAATGCAGTTCTTCTTCCCAACAGAAATCTCCCCAGCCTGGTTACAGGAATGTTTTCTATCAGTCTTCTGGTCTGAGCTCTGACCAGAATCTCCCCTACAGAACAGCTGAAGCTGTTCCACCGCTTCACTTGTAGGCGACATCTCCAAACTTTTCCTTTCTCTTCCCATAAGCCATTCCCAAAAGCTTATAATCCACATCATCAGGTATAGCCACAGCAACGACCCTATTTCTCTAGTGCCAAATTTATTACCCTTCTCTCATTGCTGGGACAAATACCCCACACTCAAAATGAGGAAAGGGAAGGTTTATTTAGCTTACAGTTCCTGGATGTTTCAAGACACTGGAGGAGAGTATGGGGCGCTGCTTTGTCCAGGATGACTCTCTACACCTCTGAGAAAAGCACAGGCTAGCCAGTTTAACATGCCCCTCGGGCCCCGCCCCTCTGGCCGCTCATTCCAGCTGCTACCCTATAACTTACATGAGGCTTTTGGGTGACAACTAGACACAAACCATACCGCAACCCTTTAACTTGGTTCTGAAGAAACCAAAGGGCACTGGATAGTATGGCAAGGTTGGGGGTATTTAGGGTTTTGGCTTTTGGAAAGCAGACCATTTTACTGATGATGTTGGGACAGCTGCGTTGTCCATAAAATATAAGCCAAAATTTATTTAAAAAGTGCAATGCATATGTCATGTCACAAATGTAGTTCTTCCTACCTCCTGAGAACTAGGTCACAGGACTGGGTTCAATCACAAAGCACCTGTGGTTCCGGCTACTTTAGCGACTGGGTGGACAGATTGCTTGAACCCAGGACTTTGAGGCCAGTCTGGGTAACAGTGAGACCCTCTGATTTCTCATTGCTTCAAGAGAGAGCATGGATTTTACCCATGATGCCCATTACCCAGAACACCTCAGAGAATGGGCCCGAAGTCAAGGGATTCATTTTTGTAATCATATTTTGACCTTTGAAATCAGGAAACCATCCAGTGTCCCTCTCTAGTCTTCAAACCCCATCTGATTTTCCTATGTCAGTGAGGTGCTTTATAGATGCAAGACCATCCTCTTCGTGTGGTGACTCAGTTACTTTGTTGTTGCTGAGACACAATGACTGACACCCACAATTTATTATTTATTTATTTATTTGATACAGGTCTCACTACACAGTTTACACTTGTAGTGATCCTCCTGTCTCAGCCTCTCTAGCACTGGCATTACAGTCATGTACCACCACGCCTGGTTTTGGGGCCAGCATGCATGTGGTTGCAGGGATTGAACTCTGGTCCTCCTTGCACTTGCCAGGCAGGCACTTAAACCACTGAGCTATCTCCCTAGTCCCCCACACCCACATTTTAAAGGAGAGTTTTTTGGGAGGCTCACAGTTTAGTTCATTGTAGGCTGGATCCAAGGAAGAATGGCATGACAGAGGGGTACAGTAGAGGACAACTGCTTGTAGCATGGTGGACAGGAAACAGAAAAGGGTTGGAGAGGGAGACATAAATACTTCAAGGTCCAGTCTCTAGTGACCTCCTCCTCCTGCCAGTCCTTACTTCCTAACAGCAGCTAGTTGTAGATCCCATAGTTCCCAGTCACCTTCCACAGGCCTATGTTTTAGTGTATAGGGCTCTGGGGGACATCCAGATCCAAGACAAAACATGTAGTGTCTGTCACCTTGTGTGTATCTTTCCACCTGGAGGCACCCAGCCTGTTCTTATACCCAAAGCCACCTGCAGTGTCCCTCAGGATTGATGTAAATTGGGCAAGCATACCATGAAGGTGAGGCTGAGCTCTCCTTGCTTGGCCATTGTATCAGGAGGTCATGATGCTGTCTGCCTGGTGCGGTGCTGAGAGTATAGTACACTTGTAGTTGCTTCATGCAGTGTTCTGTGTGCCAGTCCAGTTGATCATGAGCACTGGTGAAACTTGTCCTGTGATTGTGGACATACCTGCTTCTCTATTCTTACTCTTTTTTTTGCAGTACTGGGAACCGAACCAAGATCTTTTGCATTAAGCTACATCCCTGACCATGTTTCATTTTGAGACAGTCTTTTCTAAATTGCTTGTGCTGGGTTCAAATGTACAATTCTCCTGCTTCAACCCTCTCCCCTAAGAGCGCAGGCATGTGCCACCATGCCTGGCTTACTTCTTTTAGTTGCTACCTTGTGCTGTATCTTCGGCAGTCATCTATGTATCTTTGTGCATGGCATTAGGTGTCTGGGGATGTGGGACTTTATATCTTCCTGGTGACCTCTAACTCATGATTATAAATTGACTCTTTTGTACTTGTTCATTTTCTAGTAGTTTACTCTAATACTATCTGAACACAAGCTTCTCTTCATTTGCACCAGTGCAAAGTGCATTGTGATACCAGAGACAGTATGCTCGGAGGGTTATGAGACAGAGGCAGGTCTGTGGGTTTTTGGTGAAGATTGGGTAAGCATAGCTGTGGGGAGGGACAGGATGGGCCACTTGGGGTTCTGACTGCAGTCCCTCACCTTCTCCCCTCTTGCCCCTCCCCAGTAGATCTGCTAGGCCACATGTCAACATTCAAGAAAGGGTCTCCTGCCCTAGGCCATGGAAACTGAGCTGCCTCTCTCCAACCTCAGCAGCCTCATCCTTGCTGAGGGCCTGCAGGACTCACTGTGCAGATGAACAGTGTGCCCTTGGCTGTATGGATGCTTCCTGGTCCAGAGGGCTCATCTTCCATCCTCCTGTGAGAGAAGATATGGGCTGATGAGAGGCCGATATACCCCACCCAGCCATTGGTGGGTCAGCAACAGCCCCAACCCCTCCTGAAGTCTACTGTGTCCTTCTGTCCCTGCCTCCCACCTGCCAGATATTTGCCAGATCCTCAGGAACTAGGTAGGCCACACACCTATCACTTGAGCAGATCCAGCAAGATCCACAGTTCAGAGTTTGAGAGGGAGCCAGGCTGCCCACTTCAGCAGTGGAACCCACGTGCCCCTTAACGTCTGCCCTCTGTGTCTGCTGTTGAGGCTAATGGAGGCCGCTGTAGATGAGGATAGGCGAGAGGGTGCTTCCTTTTGCGTAGGTCAGCCCCTTCCATATCTAGGGCTCAGTCAGCATGATGGGCAGAGAATGGTTGGGTCCCAAGGCCCTAGCTCCTCCCTGTCAAGGGTGAAGAAGGACGTGGTTCATCAGACCTTCCTCTGCTACTTCTTCTGCCGGCAGAAGTGACCTGGTGGATCTGAGCTGGGAACAGGACTCAGGGCTCCCACAGCATCTGACCCTGTGGGCCACTGCTGCAGTCCAGTGGGGTCCACTGCAGCCATCCGAGAGTGCTGCCTGTCACCCATTAGCAGGGTTACTAGTGGTGGTGGGTACTGACCCATAAGGTGCTGAGAATGCCAAGACTCAGGAAGCTGGAGCCCTGGGGCAGTTGTCCACTGTGGGGCCAGACGGCCTCTGACTGTGGTCTGGTGGTACTGGGAGGTCCAGGTTTCATTTACCCAGAGCTTTAGGTTGTGCAGAGCTGTCGCTGCAGCAACTGTCACTGCGCAAGGGCGGGACAGGGAGGGGCTCAGGGGCCCTGTCCAAGGCTGGAGTCCGTGCGGGTACCCGCGCTGTGCCAGGCGGGTCGACCGCGCACGCAGGGGGCGCGGGGCGGAATAGGGGCGGCTCCGGCGGCGGAGGGCGGAGCGCGCAGAGGCTCGGGGCACGGCGGCGCTCAGTACCGGCAGGTGGCGGGGTAGGTGCGGGCGGGCTCGGGTGGCCTTGGGGTTGGTGTGAGTGGCCGGGTGCGGATGGGTGACTGAGCTAGGCCTGGGTGACCACAGCCCCAGGCTGCTTAGTGGGCGGGGCGCTGTCTGTTGAGGCCTGGGGTGCGCTGGCAGCAGGGACTAGGCCCCGCAGGGGACCATCGGAGGGGGGAAGGGCGGCCTTTCTCCAGCCGCGACCCCCTCCTCACTGTCTTGAGGCGGCGGTCTGAGAGCCGGTGTGCGCAGGCCCTGGAGGACCTGATTAGGGTGTGAAGCCACAGCCACTGGGCAGGGGAGGCGCGTGGGTGCTCGGCCCCTGCGGGAGGCTCGGGCAGGTGTTCCGGGCTAGGTTCCTGGGGTGCGGCCACCGGAGGTTCCAGGTTGGGGCTAGCTATCCAGAGACATGGGGTCTGTCCTGTTGCTGGCCCAATCTTCAGCCCTCTGTCGTGTTTGTTGAGTGACTGAGCGAGCTAGTATGGGGCTGGGAAGGTAGCGGCATAAGGGTGACCTGGCTGTGGGGCCTGGACCCAGGCTGGGAAGAAGGACCGCAGCCTGCGGTGCGGCCCGCGTGGGCTTCCCGCGCGAAGTGCGCTGGCTGGTGGGCGTGAGACCCGCAAGCGTGGGGTTAGGAGCAGGAGCCCGGAACCTTGGAGAGGGGTGCGGTAACTCCAGGGACCTCCTGCTGGAGGTGTCGGAGCTCCGAAGGATGGGTGGGAGGGTCTTGGAATGCGTCGGGTGCAAGTGTGGGGTCTGGGGCCTTCGTATGGGGGTGTGGTGACACCAGAACACACTAAACGCTGCACGGTCCCCGGCGAAAATAAATTTTATGTCTTTGTCTAGACAGAGCGGTCAGCGGGGACCCCAGGTTGGGTGCCACCAGGGAGGCGGAGCCGGCGGCCAAGGCTCCGGGCGGGTGAGGGCGGGCGCGTAGGGAACTGGGCTTCTCTGGCTCGGTGCGCGGGCGCAGAGAGCCGAGTACAAGGAAATGCAGCGGGACCGGACTTTCATGTACGGGGCCCGGGAGCATGGAGCGGCGGCAGTGTGCATCCGTGCTGCACGAAGGCGGACAGGGATCTAGTCTTACGGCAGGGAGGGGAGACCCCAGGACGGATGCGTCAGCTGGGGAGGGATACGGAGGGCCCGGCGGTGACCAAGGTCCTGGCTCCGGGCGCGCAGAAACCACTTCCGTTCGGTTTCGTTCCTGACGCGGCGGGAACGCGGGCTAGGTCCCAGGTGGGGCCGCAGCGCCCCCTGGAGGCCCCGCTCCCTGCTCCAGGATCCGGTGAGCTCTGTTGCCTCGCCTGTGACCGAGGACGCGGCCCCTCCGCTGACACAGCGCGCAGCAGGGACACGAGGGAGCGGCCATGTAGTCCCGCCACTCTGATCGCTGTCCTCTGCTCTCCCCAGGTCTCAGCTCGCTATGCCTGCTGGCTGAGCAGCTCCACGTTCCCGGCCGCCGCAGGGCCACACTTGGGGGCCGCCTCGCTTGGGGGCCGTGGCCCTGGCGGCCGACCATGGTGCTGCCGCCCCCGGATCGGCGCCACGTGTGCCTGACCACGCTGGTGATTGTAGGCAGCATGGCCGTCATGGACGCGTACCTGGTGGAGCAGAATCAGGGCCCGCGCAAGGTTGGCGTGTGCATCATCGTGCTGGTGGGCGACGTGTGCTTCCTCTTGGTGCTACGCTACGTGGCCGTATGGGTGGGTGCCGAGGTGCGCACCGCCAAGCGCGGCTACGCCATGATTCTCTGGTTCCTCTATGTCTTTGTGCTAGAGATCAAGCTCTACTTCATCTTCCAGAACTACAAGGCAGCGCGACGTGGCGCGGGCGACCCACTGGCTCGCAAGGCGCTCACGCTGCTGCTGTCAGTGTGTGTACCTGGCCTCTTCTTGCTGCTGGTGGCCCTCGACCGCATGGAGTATGTGCGCACCTTCCGCAAGCGCGAGGATCTGCGCGGGCGCCTCTTCTGGGTAGCACTGGACCTGCTGGACCTGTTGGACATGCAGGCCACGCTGTGGGAGCCGCCACGCACCGGGCTGCCGCTGTGGGCCGAGGGCCTCACCTTCTTCTACTGCTACATGTTACTGCTCGTGCTGCCATGCGTGGCTCTCAGCGAGGTCAGCATGCAGGGAGAGCACATCGCTCCACAGAAGATGATGCTCTACCCGGTGCTGAGTCTTGCTACGGTCAACGTGGTGGCGGTACTGGCGCGTGCTGCCAACATGGCCCTGTTCCGTGACAGCCGTGTCTCAGCCATCTTTGTGGGGAAGAATGTGGTGGCCCTGGCAACCAAGGCCTGCACCTTTCTGGAGTACCGGCGCCAGGTGCGTGATTTCCCGCCGCCTGCACTCGCGCTGGAGCTGCAGCCACCGCCCACGCAGCGCAACGTGCCACCATCCACACTGCACGGTCCCGCCGGGCGCCCCCGGGGGCCCTCGCCCACGCGCGATGCGCTGGATACGTGACGGGGCGTGAGACTAGATGGGATTTGATAGGACGGGGTGGAGGCCACTGCCGCTTCTTCATCTCAGGAATCCCTCAGCCGCGGACTCTCGGCCACCCCGCGTGGAGTGGAATGCAGTGGAGTGCCGGGGAAGGGTGTTGTGGGCTCTGGCCCCTGCGTGTGCTTGGGTGCAGAGATGGGGCCATGGGGCCTCTGTCATTTTAAAGACTTGTGTTTACAGTTTCTTATGGAAGTCTCAGTGTACTGTTTCCTTGTCTCTAACATCTATTTGGCAGGGGGGAGTAGGGTTCAGGGTAGGAGACTATGAGGGCCTCAGTAAGTCTAGGAGTTTCCAGGTGGGGTACTGCTGCATCCCTGTCCCATCCGGGTTCATTGCTGCCGCTGCAAATTACATAATCCTGACCACTTGGTGCCCTATTCTCTCTCCACCCCCTGAGGGGTCCAGTGCCCCCCATGGGCCCCTGTAACCATGGAGCCCCTCCCATGGAAGCCCACCAACAGGCCCAAACCAGGACTGTCAACTTCAAGGGGTCTAGTACCCTTTGTTGCCTAGGCGAAGCTGTCCTCCCTCACCTCAGTGTAGCCCTACTCCAGTCACTGGCACCCATAGCACCTGGCTCAGATGCATGGTCCGAAGCCATCTGCACCTGACCGCCACATGGACCTCCCACCTATGTGGGGGTGTGACCTTTGGGTCCCAAGGCCCATCAGTGTCTCTGTGGGAAGAAAGGAGTGTCTGGAGGCTGCCACGAAGTACTTCCCTGTGATGGGTATTGGCCACACATGTTCCTCAGAGCAGCTAGGCAGGCAGTGCCTGGAATCCTGTGCCAGACACTGTCACTGTATGGCCTTTGCATCTGTGGTGCTGACTGCACACTGCAGGTGTTGTCTTCCCAGCATGTCCATCGCTGCAACAGTTCTGGTGGGATCAGGTGGGACTTCACCATAGCTGGGTGTGCTGGGTGGGAACCAATGCCTTGTTGCGCTGGAATCATCTGCCTTCCTGGCAAGTGATCTAACCCTTTCGTATTTGGCTGTGGCCTCCAAACCAGACCTGAAGTGCAGGTGAGTCCCCAAGGGCTTGGGCGCTGGACTGGGCACACATGCGCTGTAGCCAGCATGGTAATGGGGGGCAGTGGGGACCTACGGGAGGTGCATGGATCTGCAGAGGCCTAAGACTGGGGGGAACTCTGGGCTGGGGAATCCCTGGCCTGTGTCTGTGGTGGGGGGAATGGGTGAGGCTTGAGGTATGAGCCTTGGTTCTATGTGTTTCAAGCTGGATCCTGTGTGCTCTTGCAACAGTCAGTGCTCTAGCTTAGCTGGTCAGTAAGGACCAACATTCAGCCCTCCTGGCCCTGGACAGGTTGGAGCAGACAAGAGCACCTGAAGGACCAGAAGAGCTCTGAGAAGTTACAGCTCCTCTGTTCCACTGGATTTTTCTTTTACTGGTGGTTGGAATGGAACCCAGGGCTTGACATACAGTCCGGGAGTCCACCCTGTGCTATGGTCCAGCTCTCACCTCAGGGGACCCTGTCACCCATGGGTCTGGGAGAGAAGTGGGCAGTGCAGCTTTGCTTGCCAGGCCATGTCAGAGGTGGTGCTTGCCATCTCCAAGGCCTAGAAGAGGGCCTGGGACTCAGAGATGCCTGACTTGTGCACTGCCCACATCCCTGCTTCCAGCTGTGCAGGGTTCTCAAGGCCCTTAATACTAGCAGTGCCTCCCCCACTCACCCCTCAGTTTCCTGTGCTGGCCCTTATTTCTGCTTTGCCTCTGGCTGCTTACCCTGACCTTTTTTTCCAGGACCCTACTGGGGCTAGGAACAGGGGCCTTTGCCTATTCCTGAGGTTCTTTCCCTAAGAGTCCTCTCGGGGTAGGGTGGGGCCTGCTGCATACCAACCTTCTCAGTTCACATTCCCTTGTCAGTTCTCTGGCCCTTTGGCCCTGATGCTGCTGCCTCAAGATGGTGAGTTAGGTGTGGAGGTTGGTGGGCAGAAGAGGGCCAAGGATGGGGTTTGGCTCCCAAGGGAAGAAAGGAGTGTAGTGGGAGTTGCCCACTGGGGTCACTGTGTGTGGAGTAGTGGACAAGGGCAGCTGGACTCAGAGGATCTAGGTTGATACCTCAAAGGAGAGGTGCTGGTGGCAATGGGGACTTGAGGGACAGGAAGGGGTGGTGAGCATTTGGGGACCATTGTCTGTGGGCAAGGTCAAGAGCTTAGGATGTAGGACAGGTCCCGGGAGGGCTTATTGTGGGGTCTTTATATAGATTTCCTGTCTGGCATAGGAGAGGGCTGTGAGATTGAATAAGAAATCACAGGCATATGTGTCTAGATTCAGGGCCAGATTGGCCTCCAAACCAGACCTGAAGTGCAGGTGAGTGCCCGAGGGCTTGGGCACTGGACTGGGCACACATGCACTGTAGCCAGCATGGTAATGGGGGGCAGTGGGGGCCTATGGGAGGGGCATGGATCTGCAGAGGCCAAAGACTGGGAGGAAGAACCCACATGGGCTGTGGGGGTCAGGTGGGGTAACTTGGGGAGTTGAGCTGGATGCACTGGGAGTGCCTGCATGCCTGTCTGCAGGCTGCTGTGTGTATACAGTTCTTGCAGAGTGGCTGGAGGTACCTGCTGTGGAGGGGCAGATGCAGGCAGGGCTCAGGCTGCAGAGACCCTGTTGCTAGGTGCTGTGCTTCTCCTGAGGGCCTGACTCTCCACTCTTTCTGCCCCCTCGCAGACGAGGCCACTTGCTGCTTCCTCCACGTAATGAGTCACTCAAGCACCTGGAAGGAACCCTTGGCAGACTTTCTGGCTTCCTAAACTAAGCTATCCTGGGAGAGGAACCCTTCCCTCCCCATGGCCAGGGAGTTCTGCTTACAAGATTACAGTGTTGCCAGAGCCCAGATGCACTTGCATTTCTGAGCTCAGCCAACTGTAGGGCTGGTCCAAGAATATCTTGGTTCAAATTTCCTGTAGGAACTGGGTTGGCACCCTCCCAGGAATGCAGAACAACCTGCAGGTATGGGGACATTGGTCATCTCTTCCAGCATGGCCTCACAGCCTGGTTATGCTGCTGGAGAGCGGTCCTGGAGAGTCTCTTGCAGTGCAGAGAGGTGGAGCTGTGGCCTGTGCTAGGTAATACTGCGGACTTCCTGGGGACCAAGTACCACTTAGGCTTTTCTGTTAGGGTCACCTGAGAAGAGTTGTCACCAATGTGAACACTCACTAGAACTGGAGGCAGTTGCCTCTGGGCAGGTTTTGTGGGATGTTTCTTTAGGAATTTAAGTATGTGCTACTGTTATGTAAAAAAACCTCAGCTTTTTTTTTTTTTTTTTTTTTGAGATGAGGTCTCAGTATGTAGTTCAGGCTGGCCTTGAACTCATTATGGTGCCCAGGCTAGTCTTGAACTCACAACAATCCTCCTGCCTCAGTATCCAAAGTGCTAGGATTACAGGTATGTGTCACTACAGCTGGCTACAACAGTGGAATTGATTACTGTGGGCCTTTATGTGACCAAAGCCAAATTGTGAGCTCCTAGCTCCCAAAGGGGATGAGAGGGGCTGAGCTGCATAGCACTTTTTTATCCTGAGAACAAGGTCTTGCTGCATGCTGGAGATGGCCTCCAACTTTTGGGCTCAAGTAATCTTCCTGCCACAGCCTCCTTAATATCTGAGATGACTACTGTCAGCTTGCACAATATTTTGAATGTCGTATTGGATAATGTCAGAGGGAGGGTGGGCTCCTATGTGCTGTGTATGCAGCATCAGCTGGGCACTCCTATCACCCCAAGGGGCCTTGGGAGCCACAGGAAGCAACACAGTTGAGCTCATAACACCCAAGATGCAACAAAATCCTTTCCTCGGAGTCCCAAGCCTCTCATGTTCCCTGCACCTGTGGCATTGTGGTGGGTTTGCCTGCTAGCAGGGGAGTAAAGCCCAGATCTGACTAGGCAGGGTAGCTCCATACCCCATGAGAAGGCACAGGATTTCCTGGGAATGAGTCTGGCCTTGGGCCCTGTGGGACCCAAGCTGAGGCCTTTGAGGACATTCTTGCTCCCTTGAGGGAGACTCAAGAGATGTTAGGTTCTCCTCTTGCCTGGATGTGGTTTTCAGATTATGAGTACTGGGTCAGACCTGCTGATGGGAGGATGGTCGGAGCCTGGCCTCTCTATGAACTCAAGGTTAGCTACTCAAGGGGTCCAGAGATATTTGGATATCTGACCCATAATTTCCTTTTACACACCGTCTGCAGAACAGCTTCATAATTTTTATTTTATTTTTCAGCTTCACAATTAAAAAAAAACCTATTAGCAATATTGAACCCACTCATCTTAAGTAGTAGGTAGAATTTCACATGAGCAATAAGATCCTGCAACTCCCTGTCCATCACCCTAGAATAGTCAGGTCATCATTTCCTTGTGGGGACTGCTGGCTACTCTTGGGGACTCCTCTTTGCTAAGGACCTCAGGTTGTGGAGAGGGGAAGCCAGTATAGTCATGTGACTCTTGTGGCTGAGATGTGATTGTCATTGGTGAACACGAGAGGGCTGCCATTTCTCAAAAGCAAGACTCAAGGGGCTGGGCAGGTGTGTGTACAGCCCTGCACATAGAAGGTGGGGGGCAGAATCGCAAATTTGGGATCACTGGGAGGAGATGGGCAGTGGCAGGGGGTGAGGCCTGGTTCCCCAGGGGGTCCAGGCAGGCCTGGGCTGATAGCTTGGCATTGCTGGCTGTCTTGCCTGATTTCCTGGGGTGGCCTATGGCCTGTGGCCAGGGTATGTGGACTGGTCCTTCTTGGAACTGGTCACCATGGCCACTATGCTGAAGAAAGTGTGCTAATCCCTGCTGCTGAGAACTTGGGTTTCCCTGGAACACAGGAAGCCCAAAGTGCTGCTAGGGTTTAACGCCAGAGTCCCTCCAAAATTCATGTGACATTTAATCCCCGTATGGCCCTGCCAGAGGGCTGGCTGTGGGAGGCCGTGGAGTCACAGGGGCCCCAACCTCATGAACCGGATTCAGTGACTCCCACCACATGCCAACCAGCTTTTGTTCCTGTAGAAGATATAACACCCTTCTACAGGGAAGCGGGAAGCAGTGCTCACCACGCATCAACTCCTAGTGCCTTGACCTTGGACTTCTGGCT